AAGAAGACCTTTGGCCCAAAGAGGATTTTTCAGACTGTACTGGAAGGAGGCGAGGAGGTGTATGGGGCAAGGATGGAGGAGGCGGTCAAGGCGTTCTATGATAGATTGTATGATGGGAGTGGAGGTGGTAAGGAGGAGGAGATTGAAAATTACTGTGCTGTGGTGGAAGGAAATCTGGGTGATGAGGAAGCTGAAACTCTGTTGGATCCTGTGACGGAGGTAGAAGTGGAGGGTGTTGTGAGGAGTATGAGCAGGAACAAGACCCCAGGGGAGGATGGATTGCCCATAGAGTTCTATGTGAAATTCTGGCCAGTGGTGGGAAAGTATGTGGTGGAAGTGATGAAAATATGTTTTGAGAGGAAGGTGGTGTCCAGATCAATGAGGGAGGGTATAATTACATTGTTATACAAGAAAGGGGATCAAAGGGAGGTTAAGAATTGGAGGCCAATCACGTTGCTCAACTGTGATTATAAGATATTGGCAAAACTTCTGGCCAATAGACTGAGTGGTATTATTTCTGGAGTAATTGGAAAATGGCAGGTGTGTGCAGTGCCTGGCAGGCGAATCTCTGATAACCTGATCCTCTTGAGGGATCTGATATATTACGCTCAGAGCAATAACACCCCTTTGGCGGTGGCTGGCATAGATTTAGAGAAGGCGTACGATCGGGTGTCTCACAGGTATTTATTTGCTGTATTGAGGCGGATGGGCTTGCCTGGAGGTTTTGTGGCTATGGTGGAGGGTCTGTACCAGGGTGTGCAGAGTAGGATCCTGGTAAATGGCACTTTGACGGGGGCGGTGGAGGTGAGGTCCGGGGTGCGCCAGGGGTGCCCCCTGTCGCCGATTGCCTTCATTTGTGTCATGGAGCCGTTGCTGAGGCACCTGCAGAAGGACAAGGTCTTTCAAGGGATGTTTGTACCGGGCTGTGGGAATGAATGCTCCAAGGCTCTCTGCTATATGGATGATATCACGCTCTTGTGTGGGTCCGCTAGAGATCTGGGAAGGGCTGAATTGCAGCTTAAAATTTTTTTGGTGGAATGTCTGGTTTGAGGATTAATTGGAGTAAGAGCAAGGTTTGTGTTCTTAGCGGATCCTGTGATGTGTCCCGGAGTAGTTTGGAGAAGGTGGAGGAGTTGGATGTCCTGGGAGTCCATTTTGAGAGGAATTTAATGAATCAGGTGAATGCTGAGAGGAGTATAGGGAAGGTGGTCAAGAAGCTGGGGCTGTGGAAGATGAGGAGGCTGTCCTTATCTGGAAAGACTCTTATTGTTAAAGCGGTAGTTCTCCCTGTGTTGTTATACTTTGGGGTGATCTTTCCATTTAATAAGAGGATGTGTCAAACTGTGACCCGGATGTTATTCCAGTTCTTTTGGGGGTCCAAAATGGAGAGAGTGGCTAGGGAGGTGGTGATGAAGGCTGTGTCTTTGGGAGGTTATGACTTTCCCAATATTGCCCGGTTCCTGGAGATACAGTGGTGGTTGGTGCATTGGAAGGCCTTTGACACGGGTGGTGCTGTAGCTGCCTTAATGAGGTTTTTGATAGGATGGCCTCTGTTGAGATGGGGGTGGTGTGAGAAGGACCTTACGTGGCCCATGTCCCTAGTGTCCCCTGCATATTATCTTGGCATGGGGAAGTTTTTTAGGGACCACTCTCTGGGTGAGTTGGGGCAGGAGGCGGGGAAGAAAGAGAGTCTTTGGAGATGGTTGAGGAGGGCAGAGCTATTAACTAACATCAGGGGCTTGGGCTCGAAACAGACGGAAGATTGCTGGAGGAATATGGGAATGGTAGGGGTGACAAATAAACAGAAGGAAGTTGTATGGATGTCGTTGCATAATGTCTTGCTTACAATGGATTTCCTGAAAGGGAGAGATTTGGTGAGGAGTGAGAGGTGTCCAAGAGAAGGTTGTGGGGGAGTTGAGAATGTCAGGCACGTTTTTTGGGATTGTGGCTTTGCAAAGGAAGTGTGGAGGAGGTTGGGTGGATTTGTGCATAAGGTGGTGGGTGTTCAGAATATTACTTTTGAAGCTGGAGTGTTTGGACTAGTGGAAGGAGGGAAGGTGGTACAAAGGCGGGCGTATGTGTTTTCGGCTATTTTTAGAGAGGTGATGTGGGAGGCCCGGTGTGCTTTGCAAAAGGGGAAGTTGGATCTGTCGGAAAGTGATTGTGTTGACTGGTGTTTTGCTAGATTGTACTTTATGCTAGTGGTGGAAAGAAAGTGGATGGGAGAGGATGGTGCGAATGCGTTATGGAGGTATAGGAGGTGGTGGGAGGGGAGGCGGGAGCCTCCCTGAGAAATTGGGGTCTTTTAGCTTTTGTATTTGCCTTTTACTGTCCTAGATGATGCAAGGAACACAGCTCAGTTAAGTTCTTGTTTTTGACAGTTACTGCTGAGTAGTTGTGATTCAGTCTGATGGGAAAAAAAAAAAAAAACTTCTGATTTGGATTGTCTGACCTTGTTGCCTTCTCCTGTCCTGACCCCTTGGCTTGCCTGACTCTGCTCCTGGATGTTCCCTTATAGATCTGATCTTTTGTATTGACCCTGCGTGTGACCCGACTATCCTTTGCATATCGTCTTGTACCTCACCGATCCGCTAGTTACCGACCCCCAGCTTATTTGACTCTGACTTTGCTCATCCGTCCATCTATCCCTCAGGGATCCCTGGGCTCCCTCACATCAGACTCTTAACCTGCTGGAGCCCTTGGCAGACTCCTCTACCTCTGGTAGAGATACCTAGCAGCTGCGACCTGGTCCCGGAGCGCTCCAAGTCCATCCCCACCATCAGGGGCCCTGGTGAACAAGTGCTCCGGTACTTAGACTCCGCACTCTGGGGAGGCTCTATCAGGGGACTGATAGAGGTACTGTCAGGCGGTCCGTTACACATAGAGATAGGGGAGATGTGCTATGGAAGAACAGCGGGTCGGAGAAAATTAGGTACACATACAATTATTAAGAAATCTATTTCAGTTTTAGATTGGTCCACTTCTTGCCCCTTATAAAACCTGAATTGGCTCATTCTGTGCCTCATTTAGTGCTAGATTGGAGTGCTCCCGCAGGTGCTAAAGACAGGAATTGTAATGCCTTGGTGCAAAATTATAGATTTCTCTTGACAAACACATAAAGCACTTGCTATGCCACAGTCAGCCCTGCTGAGCTCCTCCTTTAACTCCTTTACTGCTGTGATATAAATGCATGAGCTTTTACACACACTCTTGGCTGCTTGGGGGCCCATACGCATCAGTGTGCTTCGACGTGTGGAGCCCATGCACACCCATGCGCTGTGATGTGTGCGGGTCATTCTTATTAGCACTCCAATGCACCTATGTTGAAGAGCTTGGCAATGCACCACCATGCATGACAGTGTGCTGCCAAAAATACCCCCAAGAATAGTGCTGCACTGCCCCCTAGTGACCCAAAAAACCCCACTAATAATAAACACCCTGCTGAGCATCAAACCCAATGTGTAATAAAATAAATCTGTGAAACAAATAAAGTCAATAGTAAATAAAAAACTGGATAAGTGAAACACTTACCAAAAATAAAACAAAAACAAGTAGCAATAAACACCTAGCCAGCCTATAATAAACACCCGGCTGAGCTAAAGAATAAAGTGTAAAAAAAACAACAAAAACAGCAAAATATGTGAAACGTATATCAGAAAGAAAACACGATCACAATAGCAGTGAACACCTGGCCCAGCTGTAATAAACACCTAAAGCATAAAGTGTGAAAATCATCAAAAACAGTATTAAATCATTGTAAAACAAATGCCCAGCTGAGCAATCAGCCCCCCAGTGGAATAAATATGTGATGATTCAAGTACCTGCCCAACTGAGCTAGAAATTCACAAAATGCGCATATTAAAAAAAAAAAAAAAAAAAGCTCTACTGAATATACGAAAAACATAAATGGTAAATGATAGATAACACTTAATAAAGTGTAAAATGTAGTCCAAAAGTGATATAGCAGTCTCTTTCTTCTAACATTTAAAGTAATGCACCAGTGCCTTCAACAGGAGTGCAAAACTATCGCGCTCTCTCCACCTTCAGGCATGCACAATCGCCTTAACAGCTGATCCATAGAACATATAGGTCAACATGCACTCAATATTAATCCCACTGGGTCCTCTGCTTCCACAGGTCTCTCCAGGCACACTCACGAACAATCCTTTAGGTACTCAAAAGATAAAGAACAAGGAACTCCTCATAGTGTAGTAAGGCTTTATTACCATAAAAAATGTATAAAAAATGCCACTCACACAGATACAAGGTTCACAGAACCCACTGCAAGCATTTAAGGGAAATCGGTGAACACAGATGGCGGCTCCTGCATGCTCCAGAAAAGACGTCACAAACTTCCATCCGACGTGTTACGCCACCAGTCACGTGGCTTCTTCAGGGATAGCTACGAAATGCTGCATGCCCAGTTTTTGTGAACTAAGAATCATGAGTTGCATAATGAATGAGCATTAGTTTATTTAATCTGTATTTAAACACATTGATGTCATTTTTGAATCTTGTGTAGTTTTGCTGGGTACCCCCCTGATTTTCATTTGAAAAACCTTGTGAACTTACAGAAGGCTATACAGATTGATAACTACTATTTGGCCACTTTTCCCTTGATAATAATAATAATAATAAGCAGAAGCTATACATTACCACTTGCCTACAGGGCACTTATACCCCCTTCCTGCCCAGGCCAGTTTTCAGCTTTCAGCGCTGTTGCACTTTGAATGACAATTGCACGGTCATGCATCAATTTACCCATATGAAATTTTTATCATTTTTTTTAGACAGATAGAGCTTTCTTTTGGTGGTATTTAATAACCTCTGGGTTTTTTATTTTTTGCTAAACAAACCAAAAACAACTGAACATTTTGAAAAAAAAAACATTTTTTCTTATTTTTTTTGTTATAAAATTTTGTAAATAAGTGATTTTTCTCCTTTACTGATGTGCGCTAATGAGGCTGCAGTGATGGGCACTGATAGGCTGCACTGATGGGCACTGATGAGGAGGCACTAGTAGGTGACACTGATGGGCACTGACAGGCATCACTGATGGGCACTGACAGGCATCACTGATGGGCACTGAAAGGCAGCACTGACTGGCACTGATAGGTGGCACTGAAAGGCAGCTCAGATGGGCACTGATATGTGGCATTGATGTGCACTGGTTGGCACTGATAGGTGGCATTGATGTGGCACTGATGGGCACTGACAGCTGGCATTGATGGGGCTACACTGATGGGCACACTGATCATCAGTACCCTGATGATCTGTGTAGATGTCCCCTCTGAGGAATGTGATTACCGGCTCTCCTCTCCTCTGTCAGCGGGACAGCTCGTGAGGAGAGAAATGCCAATAACCGGCATTTCCCTATTTACATGCGATCAGCTGTGATTGGACACAGCTGATCACATGACCAAGCCGACATCTTCGGCTCTTTCCATTGATCAGTGATCCGCTGTGTCCGAGGGACACAGCATACCACCGATTGCTGTGCTAACTAGGGTGATTGGTAAACATGAATTTTACTGGGTATGCATTCAGGATACATTTTAAAAACACATCTAAGAGCATCTGATGAACAAGCTCTAAGGCAGGGCCAGCAACCCCAAGCTTGTGTGCCAGACATGGCACGTAGTTGCATTTATGCCACGTGAAGGCTAGGAAACCAGCCAGCCGCCCGATGCTTTGTGGCTGGCTACACAGGAAGGAGCCATGTTGCCTTGTTCCCACTTTTGGTCCCACCAATCAGTTTCTGTAGACACCTGACATACCATCAAAGCGAGCTGCCCGATCCTTGTGGCTAGCTACACAAGACGGAACCTGGCTGCCTCTCTCTCCCCCCTGCCACCCCGCCCACCTTCCTTTTAGCTGACATAGAGGCTGTGTTTGGCCAATAAAGCATTTTGTCCCCCCCCCCCCCATGGTTGCTATACCCAACCTGCTGAGTTACTCCTCCCATCCTCACCCAGGGCACTCATCAGATCTCATCCTCCCACACACACCACATAGCAGAAATCTGATTTACCCATTTACTTTTACAGATACAACCTCCATCTGCACGGTATATAGGCAACTGCTATGTTGCTGCTTTGATCAGTGAAATCTCCAGATTGGAACAGCCAGCTACACACTGCTCAAATGGAGGCTGTGTCTGTAAAAGAATCTGATCTCAGCTTTGTGCTGTGTGGGGAGGAGGAGCCCAACCTGCGGGCCCTGCCAGCACTGATCCCTGTACATTGACCCCTGTACACTGCTCCACTGACTACATCCTTTGCCTTGCTGACCTCTGCCCCACTGACCTTATCCTCTGCCCCACTAACCCCAGACCTCTGCCCCACTGACCCCTGTACACTGTCCCACTGACTGCAACCTCTAACCCCTGTCCTCTGCCCCACTAATCCCTGTACACTGCCCCACTGACCTCAGACCTCTGCCCAATGACCCCTGTACACTTCCCCACTCACCGCATCTCCTGTCCCACTAACCCCTGTACACTGCCCTGCTGACCTCAGACTTCTGCCCAGCTGACCCCTGTACACTGCCCCACTGAACCAGTCCTCTGACCCTGTCCCATGCTTCGCTGACCCCGGGCTTCATTCCCACTAATCCAAGTTCTCTGCCTTGCTGACCCTTATACAACAACCCACTTACCCCAGTCCTCTGCCCTGCTGACTCCATCCTCCACCCAGCTGAACACTATCCTATAACCTGCTCACCCATGTTAGCTGTATGAGGTTTTAAGGTGCAGAAAAAATGTGGGTGATCTGGAGTCTGAAGGTGCAGGAATTGGAGTTGATCAGCAGTGTGAAGGTGCAGAAATTAGGGCTGCCCTGAGATGTGAAGGTGTAGGAATTGGGGTAATCTGAGGTGCAAAGGTTTAGGAACTGGGGTGATCTGAGGTGTGAGGGTGCAGGAATTTGGGTGACCTAAGGCCTGAGGGTGCAGGAATTGGGGTAATCTGAAGTGTGAAGGCATAGGAATTTGGGGTAATTTGAGGTGCGAAGGTGCATGCATTGAGGCTTATTTGAGATCTTAAGGTGCAGAAATTGGGGTGATCTGAGATGTGAGGGTAGAGGAATTCGGGTAATCTGAGTTCTGACGGTGCAGGAATTGGAATTGAGCTGACGGGTGAAGGTGCAGGAAGTGGGGTGATCTGAGTTTTGAAAGTGCAAGAATTGGGGTGGTCTGAGGTGTGAAGGTGCAGTCATTTTGGCTTGAGATCTGAAGGTTCAGAAACTAGGGTGATCTGAGACGTGAAGGTGTAGGAACTGGGGTTGATCTGAAATCTGATGATGCAGGAATTGGGACTGATCTGAGGTTTGAAGGTGCAGGAACTGGAGTAATCTGAGGTGTGATGGTGCAGGAACTGGGACTGATCTGAAGTGTGAAGGCATAGGAATTGGGGGTAATTTGAGGTGTGAAGGTGCATGCATTGAGGCTTATTTGAGATCTTAAGGTGCAGAAATTGGGGTGATCTGAGATGTAAGGGTAGAGGAATTTGGGTGATCTGAGATATGACGGTGCAGAAAATGGAATTAATCAGATGGGTGAAGGTGCAGGAATTGAGGTGATCTGAGTTTTGAAAGTGCAAGAATTGGGGTGGTCTGAGGTGTGAAGGTGCAGTCATTGGGGCTTGAGATCTGAAGGTTCAGAAACTAGGGTGATCTGAGACGTGAAGGTGTAGGAATTGGGCTTGATCTGAAATCTGATGATGCAGGAATTGGGACTGATCTGAGGTTTGAAGGTGCAGGAATTGGGGTGATCTGACGTGTGAATGTGTAAGAACTGCTGTGATGTGAGATGTGAAGGTGCAAGAATTAGGATAATCTGAGGTGTGAATGTGCAGGAATTGGGGGGATCTAAGGTGGGAAAGTGCAGGAAATGGGGGGATCTGAGGTGTGAAGGTGCAGAAATTGGGGTGGTCTGAGGTGTGAAGGTGCAGGAATTGGAGTGGTCTGAGGTGTGAAGGTGAAGGAATTGGGGAGGTCTGAGGTGTGAAGGTGCAGGAATTGGGGTGGTCTGAGGTGTGAAGGTGCAGGAATTGTAGATATGTGAGGAGTGAAGCTGCAGAAATTTGAGCAAATCTGAAATGCGAAGGTGCAGGAATTGGGGTTGATGTGAAGTGTAAATGTGCAGGAATTGGGGTTGATGTGAAGTGTAAAGGTGCAGGAATTGGAGTGACGTGAGGTGTGATGGTGCAGGAACTGGGGCTAATCTGAAATGTGAAGGTGCAAGATTTGGGGTGATCTGAGGTATGAAGGTTCAAAGCTCAATATTTATTTCTTATTATTATTCAAGTCATTTACTATTTAAAGATTCCTTTTCATGACTGAAAGTGTGAAGTTGACATTTTTATGTAGCTGGGACTCTCAACTTCTTTGAGAACATTTTTCGTCACACTGTACTCCAAAAGCTGCCTACCCCTGGTCTAAGGGGTTAATAGACTGTATAGATGTAAACTCTACAAAGAAAGATCTCTGCTGCCATCTTATGGTTTTATGAGAATTGCAGTTGATCAGTACAGCTCCAGCCCACTCTTCCACTTTCCCACTGGCTGTCATCTTAGGTAGTTTGTTCATCAGTATTTTTATTTTCATCTTTCTACTTCTCCTACCTTTAACCCATTCATTGCAGCAATAATGTATTTATTTTTCACACATATACTAAAATGTTAGTGTGTTGACATAAAAATTTGCTTTAAATCCCTAAGGGTCCTTTCACATGGGCATTCCATCTGTCCATTTTCATCCGTCTGTTGATGAATCAAAAACGGACAGCAATACATTTCTATGGCCAAACCCATGAAAAACAGACGTTGTCCATTTACATAAGTTTTTTGTCTGCTTCTATTCAGGTTTGTTTTTTAAGCAGAACAAGTCTGCGGTTTTGTTCCATTAAAAAATGGAAAGGAAGAAAAACAGATGAAAATGGACAAACGGTCTGTTTTTGCATTGGTAGTGGATGTGAAAAAACGGATATCAAATCGGATGTAAAAACTGACAAGAAAAATGGAACGCTCATGTAAAAGGGGCCTTAAACAATATATATTTTCTGAAAGCAGGGAACCTGTAGAAGAAAATTATTTTTTTTGTATGCAGCATGATGTTTTCAAAATTGTTTATCCATTTTATATTTCCATTAAAATACATTAAAATTGAATGTACACAAACACAATATAATCTCCAAATGTATTGTTACATTGAGAGTAAAAAAAATTAAACTATATCAAATTAATAAATGCCATATATGTCAAGCATCAAAATTATATGTGCCCCCAAAACGAAAAAAAATGTTGACACCCAAAATTGTCAATAAGCAACAATTTAAAACATTTTACAGCTCACCTATCCAAAGTTAAAGTGGTTTTAAAATCTTGTTTTTTTTTTACCTTACTGCATTTCTGTTCCAGAAGATCCCCCCCCCCCCCCCCATTCTTACCTGAGCCTGATCCCGATTCAGCGGGTCTCTCCACTCTCTTCCTCCTCAGTAGGCAAATTGATAGTAGCCAGCGCCATTGACTCCCACTGCTGTCAATCAAATTCTGTGATGAAGTAGAGGGGGGCAGGGTCAAGCTGCACGAGTGCCCCCCATAAAAAATGACTTTCTATGGTGGGCAATCGCTGAAGAAGAGGAGCCAGGAGCACCAGTGGGGGACCCCAGAAGAAGATCTGTGCAAAATGCAGCACTATAGTAGTCAATGAGCCCATACACACAGATCCATCTACATACAAAAATGTGCTCTGTATTTAGTCAGACACAAAAAAAGTAGGACTCAGATTTTGAGTGTGTAGATCTGCAGATTTTATGTATGCTCATAAATTCATAAATGCGAGTATTGCATGTAAACATGTATAAACACACAGAAATGTGAGTATTTTTTCCAGGATCTTGTAGCTCAACCAGCAAGAACCTTTCTTTCATACAGAAAATATGCACATAAATGCAGCATTTTTATTGTCCGTGTGCAAAAGCCCTTAGGTGCAGTGCAATAAAAACAATCCTGCTTGTTGCATTCTTGATACACTTTGATAAAAATGTATGGTGTATATATAGTTCAATGGTAACAAACAACAATGTAAAACACAACTAAAATGCACTGCACAGATGTGATCAGACTCTTAGCTTACAGACTCTATTGGTTGGGCATACAACACAACATACACAATGAAGCTTAGAGGGCTATACAATATATCATATAATCTGCAGAGCTTGCATTGTAGCTGGCCAGCTAAGACCGGTCCTAGGTTGCTAATATGGTTCACATATATGTGTATACCAAACCTGCCAATAACCTCAGTACAGTGTATATGTGCACATGTAAAAGCTAAAAGCAGAATCATTGCTGTGATTTATGTCTTTGAATGTTATATGACATTTATATATTCATTGTGTTAGCAGAAGCAGAAAAGGAAAATATGCCTTTAAGAGTTAGTATATAGGTGAGCCAATCACAGCCAGCCTCACACTGT